CCTAACTTTACCCTATGACATGTATGTGTCAAGTATTTCAGGTTAGATGTCCCTAACTTTACCCTATGACATGTATGTGTCAAGCATTTCAGGTTAGGTGCCCTAACTTTACCCTATGACACGCATGTGTCAAGTATTTCAGGTTGGGTGTCCCTAACTTTACCCTATGACAGGATACACTGCAGAAAGCTGACGATCAAAGAATGACCAGAACAGGGAATGTTGTGCTGGGTTGCTAAGTGTAGCACGACTTGAATCCCGAGTCTCCAGTCGTGAACATCTGACCTTCCCCTAGCGCTCTTGAGACCCTTGGAAGCCTAGCGCTTCTGTAACTGTGTTACGGCCTTGGAATAAGGACTAAGGACAGGCTGGAAGAGGAGAGGTAAAGCTGGGTCCACAGTGCTTTCAGTAAGTCAAGGCTTCCTGCAGATTTATTTTCCAAAGTTGCAAAACAGCTTTAGCAAACATGTAAGAACTTCTTGCTACAAACAGTTGGTGAAAAGTTGAGTTTTATGTAAATAAGTCTACTGGATTTGCATTCAGGAAACAACTTTAAAATAATGTGGTTTGAGGTTAACGAAGAGTTTATTATTAATACTATTGCGCATGGGAAGTTGGGGAGATTATAAATAACTAGGTTTGCCATTGTTTAGATATATCAGAATATTATATAGTACTAAGTAAAATATTGTAAGAATAATTACTGTATAATTGTATTTGCATACATGTGGTATGTATGTTTAGCCTTCAGGAGTCTTTTGTTTTTCCTTTGTGTGTGTGTACGTGTGTGTGTGCAAACTCAAGATATTTAAATGATGTTTAAATCAGAAAAATTTCCCTGGCTTTTACTTGCTGTGTGACCTTAGGCAAAGTTCCTACATTTCTCTGTTCCTTAGTCTGTAAAGTTAGAAAAATAATGCCGTGCATAGATACATATTAATGATGATTAATTGGAAACATTTAATACATGTGCACAATGCCTGTTACATGGCAAGAACTTCGTACGTATTTGATAGTGTGATGTTGTGGCAGAAAACTATTTGAAAATAAATTAGAATGGGAACTATACTTAAAGGTTTTTTATTTATATTTTCTGTTCTCTCCTATGAGGTTTAATTATTGTCAGTGTAAGTCTGAATCAAAGAAAGAAAGTTCTCTTCCATATGGATATTCAGAATTGGGAAAAAACCAAAATATCAGTAAATAAAACATTTTATATTTGTATCCTCAAGTTTTACACGTTTGATATATGAAATTTAGTTTGCAATAATGTCAACAGTGAAGGATCTTGGGCATTTCTGGAACACATTCTTTTTGTTGGTATAAAAAGTATGCAAACCTCTACTTAGAGGTTGGAGAGACACAAACATTAGTAGGTTACATTTCCAGATGGCAAGTAATTAAATGTCGTAAGGAGTGGTCCTTCAGTGCTGTTTCTGAGAGAAGAAGGTGCATTGACACGGCGGGCAGAGAGAAACTGAAGGAAGTGGAAATTGAGAATGCCCATGAATAGTGGAGGGTTTGTGCTGGAATATTAAGTGAGGCTGTGAGGGACCGAAACACATGTTAGTATTTGGGGAGTATACGCCACTGATGTGATGCGGAAAACATTGACGTGTTCAGATGTCTATCGATAGGACAGCAAAATACTTGTGTTTTACCTTTTGTTAAGGAGCCTTTTCCCCATAATGCCTCCATCTGCTGTGAAATTCTAACACTGCACGTATACTTTGTGTATACTGTGCACTTTCACAGACCACCCGCCATTGAGTTAGTTGGTTCATTTCTCCCCGACCAGGACTAGATGTCGCCCCCTTGTGGCTGAAAGCACCACGACTGAGAACTGTGCTACCCATGTATGAGGAGCATCCAGTGTTCAGTTGAAAAGCACATATACTGTCACTCCTCAGGATTGCATTATTCTCTGTACAATTTTGGATTTCGTGCTTGGCAGGTAGAGTGATCCTTAGGGTATCCTGTATCATAAAACATGGGCTTGCTCTTCATTCTCATTAACCTGTACATCTAACAAAGCTTGGTTGCATACGCAGTGAGGTATTTATAATATGTACAAATTACAGCCACACGTACAGTAACTCAGGCATCCATCTCTGTCCATCAGTCAATCAAAGGCAGGGTTTGCAGTGGCAGGAGAAACGCTGTGCTGATTTAAAGTGATTCAGACTCTTGTGTTCATTAGGACCCGGTGCTACAGTGTGTGCAGACGGACATACAGCACTGGGGAGCAGACAGTTCACGGGCGCTGCCCCGGCTGGAGCCCATGGGCTGATGAACTGGGCAACTGCACCGTAAGTTATAATTCTTCTGTCTAACTCTGTCACTAGAAGGGATGGTTTTGCTTTGTTTTTCACTTCAGTCATATCGTGCCTGTCAAGTTTTCGCAATCTTTAGCAGCACCACATATTCAGAGCAGCACTTTGGACTGAATATTCACAGATGACATGTGCAGAAATGCACAGAAGCCTTTCTGGTGAGCGTTTGTAATGATAGGTCGTGACTCAGGACCCATGGAAACATTACTTTATATTCTGTCTCTTTATTGAAAAGACAGCCGATTTAAAGCCAGACAGGTTATGCCTTGACTTCCGCCTCTCTATTCTGTTTGCCCCTTTCTCATATCATCAAATTTGTAATCCACAGGTGATTCAAAAGTCCAGAGGGAAATCACTGTACTAAATCTAAATGGGATTTTTCAGCTTGTGCTTGTCATGATTAATTGCAGAACTGTGGCGGCAGTTTATTTTTTAAGATGAGATGCGCAGTCCTTTCTCAAACCTCCTGTGAGGCTGTTTCGGAACCTTTGGAGTGTGTTTGACAGTGCTCGAGGGCGGAACCGGTGGCATTATAGAGTTCATTCATGCCAGGAGAAACGGCTCCGTTTAGCAGCTGCCTGGCCGTGTCATGTGTTCCTGGTTACTGCGAAGTCACTTAACGTGCGTCAGTGTGTTGCAGTCAGCGTGGCGCAGCAGCACAAAGCTCAGCTCTCGCGCCGCTCTGTTCCTTAGGAAGCCTGTCGCCGGCCCGCTGCCTCCCGTGCGCACGCTGCTCCGGAGCTCCAGAATGCCTGGTGAGGCTGCCGCGGCCTCCCGTGCGCACGCTGCTCCGGAACGCCTGGTGAGGCTGCCGCGGCCTCCCGTGCGCACGCTGCTCCTGAACGCCTGGTGAGGCTGCCGCGGCCTCGCGTATGCACGCTGCTCCGGAACGCCTGGTGAGGCTGCCGCGGCCTCGCGTGCGCACGCTGCTCTGGAGCTCCGGAACGCCTGGTGAGGCTGCCGCGGCCTCCCGTGCGCACGCTGCTCCGGAACGCCTGGTGAGGCTGCCGCGGCCTCCCGTGTTAAGGAGCGTCCCTGAGCACTTCTGAGAAGTGCTCGGCCGCTGCAACTCACTAGTTCAGGGTAACTGAAACGGTCTGACCGTAACGCCAGCTCAGCAGTGTTGTAAACACCTGAATTAAGAACCGTGAGATGAACTGTTTGCTTTGTTGTGAGACACCTGTCGTGGTCCCTTGCTTCTAGGTGCGTGTCGTATTTTTCACTTTCGGATTGTCTGGCCGCGTGCGCAGTACACGGTGGTGACACTCACTGGGGGGGCAGACACGTGCACATAACACGTCTTAATTTATTTTAATGGCTGCTTCCCATTTCTAAAATGTCTGTCCCTGTTTTCTGTTAGTCACCTTTTTACTTTGTTTTCTAATTAATTTATGTTTTAGGATTTTCATGTAAGAGAAACCGTGCACTATTTAGTATCTGTGTGTCAATTTATTTCACTTAACGCTGTGGTCTCAAGGTGCGTCCGTTTTCCTACAGATGACTCAGGTTTACCTTCTTTATGATGGAATGGTACTCGTTATGTATCAAGACTACATTTTCTTTCTCTTTTTCTTGGTTTTCTTTCCCGTACCGGGAATCAAACTCATGACCTTGTGCTTGCCAGGCAGGCGCTGTGCCGCTGAGCTAAATCCCCAGCCCCATGACTACATTTTCCTTATCCATTCATTTGTTGATGGACATATAGGTGCTTCCAAGGTGTAGTTTTTTTGAATCATGCTGCTGTAAACATGAGTATGCATGTGTGGTTGTAATACGATGTCTTTAACTGTTTTGGGAAGATGCGTAGAAAGGGAATAGCTGGTCAGATGGAATTTCTAGTTTTACTTCCGAGGAATCTTCATGCTGATTTCCACGGTTGTACTGCTGTACATTCCCGTCAGTGTGGAAGGACTCTTTCCCCCCACAGCCTTGCTAGAATTTATTATTTGGTTCTGGATGGTAGGGACCCTTTCTGGAGTGAGATGGGATCTGTGTGGTTTTAATTGGGATTTCTCTAATTGCCAGTGATGTTGAACATTTTTTCATGTATTTGTTGTCTATTTGTACTTCTTCTGAGAAGGGTCTGTTCATTTCGGTTGCTCAGTTTTTTGATTGGGTCTTTTGCTTTGGGGCATTTGATTCGAGTTCTAGATATTCATTCTCTGTTCAAGGTACATATATCCATGCAGTTTAAAAGAGTAGTACTTTTCCAATGTGGATGCAAATACACATCATCTGGGATTTTGTTAGAGTAGAGACTGTGATTCTGAAGTGGGCCTGGGATTCTGCATTTCTGCACTCACATGCTGTAACAACGAGAATGGTGTCAGACGCTGGAGAGTAAGGCCTTGACTTGTGATGACAACTTTCTTGCCTGGTGGAAATGTCTACCGTGTGTTGCATTAGCAACGTGATGGTTTTCTTCTCTTCACTCCATTCTCTCGCTCTCTTTGCTCACCCTCCTGAAGCTGTCTTTAACACGGGCATCCTTTGGAGGAAGGCAGTGCTCAGGTGGCGAAGCGCAGCTGTGGCCGTCCTCACAGGGGTTCCACGGATCCCGCTGTCAGCATGCTGAGTCGTGAGCAAGACCGTTTCGCTGTGTTTGGAGCATCTCCCTTGCTTGTTGGGACTGGCCACTCTCGTTGACGAAGACTGACGGCAGCATTATCCCTCTGGGGATTGGTGACCATTTAAAACGAGTCGCTAAGCAGAAACCCGCGATCTAGAGTGTAATCAGCCTCACAAAACGTGCTTTGTAGTGTGGTTTTAATTACTCACTGTAAGAGTTTAGAGGGTAACAGTAAGTTCAAAGTAGTCACTCTAAAGGAAATAGCAGCTTAATAAGAAAACCTCATTCTGACCTCAGATGCTAAATCATTCATGGAGCCATGGCTTTAAATTACTGGTACAGTATTCCTCTCTGAGATCTCTATTTTGTGAATGGACAAAGTAGAATTAACATGCACTCAGCATGAAAGTAGTATTTACTACTTTCGTGCCCTGTATTTTTTTAAAATACCAGAATACAAAACAATGCAGTCATGCACACGTCTCACATTTTAACACTGCGCATCCCAGTTTCATGGTGGGAAGATATTGTCAGTTTTTTTTTTTTTTTTGGTTTTTCTCTGGTACCAGGAACCGAACTCACGACCTTGCGCTTGCCAGGCAGGCGCTTTTGCCACTGAGCTAAATCCCCAGCCCCTGATATTGTCAGTTTTGGCTATGTACATCTCAGCTCTTTCTTGTGTGGGAAATTTTCAGGATGGCAATGATTTATCCTTTCCTGCATCTGCCATTGAGACATGGTGGTTTCAAAGGATTTGTTTTGACTTAATCATCTGATTTAGTCTCCAGAGATTGGGAATTCATCTGCATTTATCTCTTAAGAGCAGGAAAAAAAAAACAATATCTAAATTAAATAAGTTAAAGAAATAGACATTTTATTATCTCTGCTGATACGTGTGCCTTCTGGTCTCCATTACTTGACTCTTGGAAAGTGACATTGGAAAGTGGCTGAGCTTATCACTCATGTCCACTTGTCTTCTCCACCCTTGGTGTAAGGTAAAGGCTGATGTTTTTCATGGGTCATCTTAACAGTTTTTCTTGTAAATGAATCTTGGCATACTTTTCCAGAGCTTTTTGCTATTTTTAAACAAAACTTTGAGTTAAAATAAAGCTGATGTTTCCCTTCAATTTATCCTTTGACTATGGCGCACTGGCTTTGAAACAGCGGTCAGTGGATGCTGTGAGATCCAGGATGTGTGTCGAACTGTTCTCATGATGCTGAAGAAGTAACAGAAATCATGTGTTGAACAAGGGTAACAAATTATTTTTCTCTGAATAAATTAATTCAACTACATGTGCAACACTAGTCTCTTTGCCTTGATGAGTAATTGTGATGAGCAATTATACATGTGATTGGTTCATTAAGAATTTTAAAAAAATAATTAATTATTATCTTATAAATGCATTTGTTTTGGGAGAGAAAACCTTGCAAAACATCAAAGTCCCAGAGGAGGAAGGTAATTAAGACGACATATGGTAATGATAATGACATAGAAATCATACCTGGATTAATTTAATCTTTATTTTCTGCATCAGTTCTTGGATATTTTAATTATTCCAACTTCTTAACTTCTATGCACCTAATAATTAGTGTCCTTTCTGAAATTCAGGTAGCTAGACATTTTATTTATTCAGGTTTAGGTTGATGAAAACACTAGTTTATTTTAATCAGGCAGGATGAATGTGTCTTCCACAAGTTTGTGTTTGCTTTTAGATCTTGACACTTTCTTCTTCCACTGTAATATTCTTGTTCAGTTTGAAGCAAAATTGATAAAACCTGCGGGTTGTACAAGCTGAAGTAGTAGGAGTTCAGACATTTCCTATATGATGTTGTGTTTCATTTATCAAAAAGAAATACCAAAAATTATGTAAATGCAAGATAAATTTTGAAGCCTTTCTCAGAGGTCAGACATTTGAAAAAAGTAGAAAAACCAATTAAGAAGATATGACATTAGCTGAGTCTTCAAAGAAAATTCAAATTCAAAATCAGCAAAGATTCTTTTAAAAAAGAATGTGCTTGATGGAACATACAGTTTGTAAAGCAGGTTGATTATAGTCTGGTGATACAGGCTCTAACTTAGCACTTGTCCAGTGACTAGATTTGAGTTCTCATGTATTGGAACATAAGCCTAAGTCTGATTCATTCATTCATTCTCTCTCTCCCTCGATATATTATGTATACATCGTATATATTGCATATACACACATCATGTGTAATTGTATATTATGTATATGTGGTATATAATACACCACAATAAAATGATTTTAATGACTTTCAAATTATGTAAGTTAATATAAAATTTAAAATGACAAAAGTTAATAATTTTCCAATTATTAGGAAAAGAATATGTAAAGGAAAACTACATGTTGTATTGTATTGCCTTCAGAAGTCCATGGTGGTCATTCTT